GCTGAATATGACGCCTTATGTTGGACAAAAGGGGGAGTGTAAAGGATTAAAATGGCGGAAATTAGTCTATGGTTACAGAAGATATAAAATAAATTAACCGATAAAGGCTTGCGTTTCGCTTGCGCTTTCCTCTCATAGTATTTACCGCTGGACTTTTAACTCGATGAAATGCATAATCTATCGAAAGGGGAATTTTTGAGTTTTAGTTAGTTACGGCTTTTTGTATTTCAGCGACTAAGGTGAGATAGGGCCTTTTAATATTAAGTTAACGATATCGTCACTAAACACGAATAAAGGCGCGAGCTCAAAAGTTGACGGCGAAAAAAGACGAATAAAAAAATTTCAGCGTCAAAGACTCTTAACATACTTCGCCAAAGTTTTTTATAAGCATCTTTTTTCGCAAAATTTGTTTAAACGCCTTTATCCGCCGTCATAACACGCGCCTTTATTCGTGTGTAGTGACGATATGTGCTATTTTAAAAAATTTACATTTTATTTCGAAGGAGTGGAAAATTGATGTCAGCTAATATGATTTCAAGTCCAAATCTTCTTATTTTTTATGCCATGTGATACATTCTTCCACACTGATTTCAAATTCTCAGTCTCAAAAAACGACCAAAATGTAGTCAAGCCAAATCGACTGCTCAGAAGACTTTTCAAGAACGCTCTATTTCAGAATTTGGTTGAAGAACGCCCTATTTCAGCTTCCGATTCAAACACGCCCTATCTCAGCACATTTTTAATTTATTTTGAAGTGAGATAGAGCGTTCTTCAACCAAATTTTGAGATAAGGTATTTTTCAATAAAATTTTGAAATAGGGCGTTCTTGAAAAGCTTTTTGAGACAGGGCGTTTTCGAAATGGCTACCAAGATAGGTCGAACTTCCACTCAGCAGTCGAAACATTGTCTAAATAAATTATACAGAGCAAAAATTAAAAAAAAAACCATAATTTTATGATTTGCGAAAACGGAACGTCTCTAGACTCCACACTGTGATTGCGGTCCTCTAGACTTGTCAACTTGCTTGCCAACGTTTGAATTCTTGAAACAGGGACATCAATTTCAATGCTGTTTATTTGGAAATTTTCTATTTAAACAACAAAACAATTAGAAAGTTCACAAGGTGTTGTATACTGTCGTATTGTTGTATGTCGGAAACTTTAAATTACTAAAAATATATTTAGGGGATTCGCAAACTACCAATTTTATTTAGCCGTTAAAAAATTACGATATACGACGCGTACGACAATACGGCACGTACGACATCTTGTGCACTAAATAACTTTAAGGGGTAAGTTAAAATTGAATTAAAAATCACACGAAATTATAAACCAATTTTTTATTTACATTTTACTTCAAATTTTTTATAAAAATATACATAGTTCATACTACACCAAAAAAACATTAAAATAACATCTCTAAAGGCCCTGTCACATACAGCTTTCGCGTCGCTTTGGCGTTGTATCATTTTGACAGCAACGTAAGTAGCGCAAGTGTTTGCTACAATCAATGATCTGACAGCGATTGTTTTTAGTTTTTGAATTTGAATTTTACAATTAAAAACATTCAAAAATTTTTAAAATAGAAGCTTTTGGTCGTCGCGGTCCTTAATCGTTTTTTCTTTGCATGATTTTGTGTGTTTATTAGCAAAAAGTGATTGATTTCATCAAGGGACTGTCAACGCGCGCAAAACGGCAAGATTTAACCAGCGTTCGTGTTGCTTTGGCGTCATGATTGCCTATGTGAACAGCTTCATATAAATGTATTTATTCATCTTAGCTGTCAAAGCAAAACCAACGCCAAAGCTGCACGAAAGCTGTATGTGCCAGAGCCTTAAGCTTTCTGCAAAACTCAGGAAAATGCAAGACATTTCCATACAAGTTAGCATTGTAGTATAAAGCTAAGCGTACACGGAAGAGAAATCTCTCGAGAGTTTCACTGAAATAAAAATCTCCTCTCTCAATTAAGTTTACACGGTAGAGCAACTCTAGGAGATATTCACTCTAGCTAGAGATAAAATAGAGAAATCTCAACTTTTATCTATCACTATCAATAGTTATCTCTCGCCTAGAGTTAGTTTTCTATCTCGAATTGTTGTCAACGCTTGTTGTATGTATATATGTATTTATATCAAAGCCACGATGTAAAAAATATAGTTGGCGCCATCAGCGGAGCGCTAACCCTTCGTCGATTTGACAGCATTCACCTATTTTCTGACGTCATAAAATACATTTTCGCAATATGAACAAGAATTAAATTTTCAAATTGTACTTATTTGCCGAATAAAATTTTACCTACAAATAGACAAATGTACTTAAAAATTTAACATGGCAACCTCTCTCTTCGGTACTATGTGTACTTTTGGACTCGCATCAAACAACCTTTAATATTTAAAATTCAGTTGAAAGGAGTTTATCCGAGCAGTTCCAGCCAAACTACTATATATATGTATGTAGGTATTCACCAAGTTGAGCAAGTGGCCTGGCACTCTGACAAAACAGCAGATAACTCAAGCAACGACTATTGCCAGAGTGCCAGACCACCTGCTCAATTTGTGAATACCCCTTATGTTTTAACCAATAATTATGCCCCTTTGAAAAGGACGGAGGCTATCGGAAAAGCCATTGAAATACCAATGAAAATAAGAGGATGATTCCCGGTACATTATTTGGCTACGTTCTAATTGCACTTAAAATTGTGTGCTTGTATCGAATATACGTATTAATGTCGTAGCCATTTCAAAATTTAACAATCTGTAATGAAGTTCACTGTCAAGACTTTACTATACGTCTCCGTAGAGCAAAAGGTCTATTTAGCTTGCTAAATAGAGCCTAGAGTTGTCGTAGAGTTTTCGATCTAGCTTTGTTGGACTGTGTACACGGCGAAAAAGTCTCGCTAAATAACTCTCACATAGACTTTGTAGGTGAGTCTTTCGTAGAGCTCTACTGAGTGTTTACACGTCTCTAGCGAGATTTTTGTCTAAATCTCGCGTTTTTTCTCTACCATGTACACTTAGCTTAACTAAGTGCCAGTTTGAAGCTTTTAAAAAATCGCGTTGCTTTTTTTCAGTTTCTTCCAAAAAAAAAAAAAATTGTCAAACAAACTTTGTGTACTTTGTTACAATCCAATTGTTTAAAATCCATTTGCAATTAAAGTAGCAATAGCGTTCTTGATTTTAGAGTCGATTAACCGTAAAGTACTAACCTATTTTACATACATTAGTACTAATGATCGTCGAACCGACAGAAGATAAAACTCTAACCTCACATAAAAGGTTTGTATAGTAACCAATAGTCAGTACTAATTTGTACTAGAACCTGCAAATTTTTACAGGAAAAGTGTATGATAACCCAAAAAATTTGCAAGAGAGCACTGAATCGAGAGCGTAACAATACGGGAGAGCTGTAAATTCTTGCTAGTGAAATTTTTACTAGCAGAAATTAGCTAGCAGACGAAGAAGAAGAATAAATGTCAAAAGCCGGCATTTGTTGAATTGGTTTAGTACAAACAAAAGTAAAATGAGTGGAAATCAAAATATTAATGATGTACTAGACTGTGTAAGTGCTTGTGTGTAAAGCAAAGAGTTTAAAACTGATTTATAAATAGTAAAATGTTTACAGCAGAATATCAAAAGGGTGCAACAACTATTCACTTGTAAGTTTTTACTAGTTTTGCGTTCAATAACTTTTTCTGCTAGTTTTCTCTTCTTCTCAATTTTACGCTCTATTTTGCTTTTACGCTCTCGCTGCAATGTTTTACTGGAGAAGTTACTACACAAACCTAAAATGTGACCGCAATCACACCAAGCAGTAAAGAGATAATAAATAAAACTAGAGTTATAGTCGTCGAATCAAAGAACCTTAGTACACTAGGGTTAAATAGAATTTGTAAAATATATATACATGTTTTAAGAGTTCTAAATGTTTTTACAACGAGATTTCTAAACATTTTTTCTTGCCAACAAAACCGAGACATTTTGCGCCCCGGCATGCCCTTCCTTGCGGTCGTACCTAGCACAATGAAAGAAGAGTTCAGGTAGGAGAGGAATAGGTTCATAAATGAACACTGGCTTAACACTGCAGTTCTACGCCACGCTAAATGGTTACTGGGAGCAAGAACTTTACAAGGTTCATGGCAATAATAAGTCTTCCCAAGGAGAGATTAAGGATGATAAGAGGTTTTCTGACGGGTCACTGCAGACTGAGGGG